ATATATATATATATATTTACATATGATGGTTATATATATGTATGAATATATGTATGTATATGTACATATATATACACACATACATGCATATATACACACATACATGCATACATCACACACACACACACACACACACACACACACACACACACACACATAAAAACAAAAGTACCTGAGGCCAAGACTCTACCCAGACCAATGAAAATCTCTAGATGGAAGCCCTCAGTTGTTGAAAAATTCCTTGAGTGATTCTAACATGAAGCCAGAGTTGGGAACCACAGGTTCTAGATAGAAGCTATTTTACCAGGGCAATCTCAGGTATAGATGGGTCAGGCTCACATTTAATCCCATAGAAACTCACCTTTCCAATGGAAGGTTGTTATTCCAGTTTATATGAAGGTTGTTATAGCTTTCCTTTTCTCCCTAATGCCTCTTCCTCAGAAATATGCCTATGAAGGAACCTTGAGAGGCAAGCCTTCCAGGAACTCTGTGTATCCAACTCAGAGAAAAATCTCCCTGCTTTTTAGCCTTTGCAGAGGCAGCACAATACTATGACAATAAATCTAAGACATGTTGATGATCACGCAGGCTCAGAAAAGTTCTGCCCATAGGTTGAAATTTTCATCTGTTGTGCAGAGCGGAATTTTGTGATCCCGGCAGCTGGGAGAGACTGAGAACTATAGAGGAAAATCTTCCTGGAATCCTTTTTGGAAGACCATGGGCCATAAAATAAGTAAATAGATAATAATTTAAAATAGTGACAAGAGTCCTGAACTCAGAGTCAAAGGACCTAAGCTTAAGTCTTGGCTCTACCACTCAATGGTTGCGTAATTTCTGGCAATCTGCATTTAACTCCCTCTAGCTTCTATTTCTGGATCTGTAAAATGGGGCTAATCATAGTTGGCTCACAGTGTGGTTGTAAAGGTTAATGTAACATATGTGAGTTTAACCATGGTGGCTTAGCCGTGTGTGCATTTGTAGTGTTTAAAGCTACTTTTTAATTTTTTGTATAAGATGTCAAAATGAAGTTCAGTACCTTAGTCTCAGTGGAAGAAATAGTAATCTATTCTAACATCAGAAGAAAAATTGGTTGTGTTGGTCATACTGACAGATGATGTCTCTATATGGTATTCTTTTTTGGTTAATTGCAGGGACTTCCTTCCTTCCTTCCTCCCTCCCTCCCTCCCTCCTTCCTTCCTTCCTTCTTTCTTTTTTCTCTCTTTCTCTGTTTCTTTTCTTTCTTTCTTTTTTTGGTTACAGATAGAATCTTGTCCTGCTGCTCAGGCTGGAGTGCAGTGGCATAAACATAGTTCACTGCAGCCTCAAACTCCTGATCTTAAGCAATGCTCCTGCCTTGGCCTCCCAAAGTGCTGGGATTACAGGGATGTGCCACCGCATTGGGCCTAATTGCAGCAATTTTCAAGGTTAATTTTTCCTTACACTCAGTTTTCTCTTCAGACCTCCGCATAAGAATCAAAGCCTCTGGAACAAAGTGACTCTTACATGCAAAAGCACCCTCTGTATTTTTTTCTTTTTTGAGATGGAGTATTGCTCTGTCGCTCAGGCTGGAGTGCAGTGGCATGATCTTTGCTCACTGCAACCTCTGCCTCCCGGGTTCAAGCAATTTTCTCACATCATACTCCCTAGTAGCTGGGATTACTTGCACACACCACCATGCCTGGCTAAATTTTATATTTTTAGTAGAGATGGGGTTTCACTATGTTGGCCAGGCTGGTCTCTAACTCTTGACCTCATGATCCGCCCACCCCAGCTTCCCAAGGAGCTGGGATTACAGGCGTGAGCTACTGTGCCCGGCCCAAAAGCACCTTGTAAAAACAGATATATGTATACAGTATCTGTTTTATATATGTATACATACTGCCTCTGTTCCAGCTGTATACCACAGAAACACAGATTAGGAAAGCAGAAATTTCCACAGCCTTTGGGAGGCAAGCAATAGATGAGCCCTAGCCTAAGTCAAGTAAATATGCTTGACTCTGATAGCCAGTATCCACCTTTCCCTGTAACCATGAGTCCTGCACCCCTCACAGATGGGTACTGTGCTCATTATCCACCCTATTTACAGGGTGGATACTTGCCCTGGCACTGTGGGGGCCTCACAGAATGCATCACTTCAGAGGGGTTTTGCCACCCCTGCATCTTTGATCAGGTCTTACTAGGGTCAGAAGATACCAAAGGAGAACAATAAGACCATTAGGTATTAGAGCTGTTTCAGTAAGTGCAATATAATTAAGGGCAGCTTTTCTCACCTCTGCACTTGTGCCAAGTGAGGACAGAACTCCCTCTGTCAAGCCGAGGACATCAGACTTGACTTTGGAAGGGTCCTCACAGCTTCTCTCTCCTTTAGATTCCATGTTGCCAGTGACAGTTGCAATCTGGGAGGGTGATGATCTTCCATCTAGAGAAACTTGGGTCTCCTGGGCATCATATTTGGGAGAAAGCCAAGGGTCCTCTACAAAGGAGTCTGAAGCGAAGGAACTTCTATTTGAGGTGTCTTCTGTTTCCTCAGAGTGAATGACATCAGGCCCACTCTGCTCTGCCACTTTCTCCAGATTTCTTTCCTTCTGTGTCCTTTTCCTTTGGGCTCCTGGGTTTTTTTCTAAATTTTTTTTAGCCTTTGAGTCCTTTGATTTTCCTGGGGCAGAACAATTGGGAATAGAGACATAGTTGAGTTAATGTGATCTCTAGACATCATTTTTAGTAACTTTTTTTTTTTTTTGAGATAGGGTCTTGCTCTGTTATCCAGGCTGGAGTAGTCACCCAGTAGCATGATCATGGCTCATTGCAGCCTTGATCTCCTGGGCTCAAGTGATCCTCCCACGTCAGCCTCCTGAGTAGCTGGGATTGCAGGTGCACCACCATGTCCAGCTAATTTTTGTATTTTTTGTAGAAATGGGGCTTTGCCTCTTAAAGGAGAACTACAAGCCACTGCTCAATGAAATAAGAGAGGACACAAACAGATGGAGAAACATTCCATGTTCATGGTTAGGAAGAATCAATATCGTGAAAATGGCCATACTGCCCAAAGTAATTTACAGATTCAATGCTATCCCCATCAAGCTACCAATGACCTTCTTCACAGAACTGGAAAAAATCACCTTAAACTTCATATGGAATCAAAAGAGAGCCCGCATAGCGAAGTCAATTCTAAGCAAAAAGAACAAAGCGGGAGACATCATACTACCAGACTTCAAACTATACTACAAGGCTACAGTAATCAAAACAGCATGGTACTGGTACCAAAACAGAAATATAGACCAATGGAACAGAACAGAGGTCTCGGAGGCAACACAACATATCTACAACCATCTGATCTTTGACAAACCAGACAAAAACAAGCAATGGGGAAAGGATTCCCTGTTCAATAAATGGTGTTGGGAAAGCTGGCTAGCCATGTGCAGAAAGCAGAAACTGGACCTCTTCCTGATACCTTACACTAAAATTAACTCCAGATGGATTAAAGACTTAAACATAAGACCTAACACCATAAAAACCCTAGAAGAAAATCTAGGCAAAACCATTCAGGACATAGGTGTAGGCAAGGACTTCATGACCAAAACACCAAAAGCATTGACAACAAAAGCCAAAATAGACAAATGGGACCTAATCAAACTCCACAGCTTCTGCACAGCAAAAGAAACAGTCGTTAGAGTGAATCGGCAACCAACAGAATGGGAAAAAATTTTTGCAGTTTACCCATCTGACAAAGGGCTGATACCCAGAATTTACAAAGAACTAAAACAGATTTACAAGAAAAAAAACTAACAAGCCCATTCAAAAGTGGGCAAAAGATATCAACAGACACTTTACAAAAGAAGACATACATGAGGTCAACAAACATGAAAAAATGCTCATCATCACTGGTCATCAGAGAAATGCAAATCAAAACAACATTGAGATACCATCTCACGCCAGTTAGAATGGCGATCATTAAAAAATCTGGAGACAAGAGATGCTGGAGAGGATGTGGAGAAATAGGAACACTTTTGCACTGTTGGTGGGAATGTAAATTAGTTCAACCATTGTGGAAGACAGTGTGGCGATTCCTCAAGGACCTAGAAATAGAAATTCCATTTGACCCAGCAATCCCATTACTGGGTATATATCCAAAGGATTACAAATCATTCTACTATAAGGACACGTGCACACGAATGTTCATTGCAGCACTGTTTACAATAGCAAAGACCTGGAACCAACCCAAATGCCCATCGACGATAGACTGGATAGGGAAAATGTGGCACATATACACCATGGAATATTATGCAGCCATCAAAAACGATGAGTTTGTGTCCTTTGTAGGGATATGGATGAACCTGGAAACCATCATTCTCAGCAAACTGACAGAAGAGCAGAAGATCAAACACTGCATGTTCTCACTCATAGGCAGGTGTTGAACAATGAGAACACATGGACACAGGGAGGGGTGCACTACACACTGGGATCAGTTGGGGGGAAATAGGGGAGGGACGGTGGGGGGTGGGGAGCTGGGGAGAGATAGCAAGGGGAGAAATGCCAGATGTAGGTGATGGGGAGGAAGGCAGCAAATCACACTGCCACGTGTGTACCTATGCAACAATTTTGCATGTTCTTCACATGTACCCCAAAATCTAAAATGCAATAAAATAAATAAATGGGGAGAACAAACAAACAAACAAAAAAACAAAACAAAACAAAAAAGAAATGGGGCTTTGCCATGTTGCCCAGGCTAGTCTCTAATCTCTGAGCTCAAGAAATCTGCTCACTTCCCAAAGTGATGGGATTACAGGTGTGAGCCACCATGCCTGGCCCCTTTTTAGTAACTTTTAAAAGTTAGTATGCAATAGAATCACCTGCGGTGCAGATTCCTGAGCCCCAGCCCCAGAATCTGGTTCAGTGGGAATCTGCATTGTAACAAACACCCCGTGTGTTTTGGGAAGAGTAGTTTGCAGACCACCCTTGCTATTAAATAAGTTCTATTTCACTCCAACTTACAGTAGGGGCAGGACTGCCCAGAAGGGAGGCTTGTAGACACAGCTGGAAAGTCATGCCTTGAGAGTCTGGCTTGAGGTTGCAGCTTTGTAACCTGGCAAAGTTTAGCTTTCCACACTCTAAGGACCCTCCCTTCACTTCACCTTTGGTGGGGACACCACAAGTATTTCCTTTTCCTAATCCTGCCAATGCTACCCAAGTCATGGTCTACAGAAATGTAAACTCAGCAAGAGTTAAACAAGCAAATCTCAAAAATAGATTTTGCTCAGGAGCGTACCCATTGTTGTCCTTTCCAGCAGCATTGGATTTGTTTGGAGGGTATTCTGTACCATGTGGGAAGTAAAGAATGGCTGTAAGTTTTAGGCTAAAGAAAGTCTTCAGAAGCACAGGAATCTGAGTTCCTGGTCAGGGAACCAAGACAGAAACCGTAGCTTGGAGGATCATTCAACACTGTGGCATCCTTCCCCTTCCCAAATGCTCTCACTACCCAATACTCCGATTATGTGATATAGTTATTATTTTATGGAGGCAGTGGTAATAGAATCTGTTAGGAGTCAAATAGGAAAGGACAAACCCTGGGTCTACCACTTTACTGTCTGATCTGCTTGATGTTATGCAAGTCACCCAACCTTGCTAAACCTCAGTTGCTACATGAATATAATAATAAAACTTCCTTCATGGAGATGTTGTGAGGATTTAATGAGATCATATATACAGAGTCCTAATAGAGTAGGTATTCAGTAAATAGGTGCTGTTATTATTATACTTTCTTTTCTTGGTGAACACAGGCCTCTAGGCTCCCCATTTTCCTCTATCTCTATCTATTAAGATATTGACATGAAGTAAGGCTGCAACACCATCCTAGCTCTAGTAGTCAAGGAGACTCAAAACAGAGCGTTTGTCTGGTAGGATCCATGCTAATTACCCACACCACCTTCCGACCCCCAATAGGAGTTTTCTCCAGTTTTTGTTACTTGCCAGCACACTCTCTTACCGACGGCAGCCTCTGCTTCCCTGTAGATCTTTCCTTCTCTCTCTCTCTTGAGTGCTTTCGTTTTGTCTGTCTTGAGTCTTTTCTTTCTTTTGGCTTTGTCAATCAGATCCCTCTCCTAAAGGTGAAAAATCAAGAAAGGGGACCATGATATTTATAGGAAATGAACAAAAAGAAAAAACCATCAAAGAAGACTGTGTTGAACAAGGTGACAGACTGGCTTAGAATGGAATTTGTGTGAGTTCCAGGTAAAGCAGAATAATGAATCTTAGAGAATGCAGAGCCAATGGGGAGATTCAAAGGTTCAACCTTTGATGTAAAACTGCTAGGAATAATTTCATTAGCGAAAAGAGGAGGAAAACATACTTTATGGTCTGCCTCCTTTCTTAGATTCTAATTCATGATCTACAGAGCTGGATCAAAGTGAAACAGTTTTTACCTTTGCTAGATTGGTGTTGCCATGATTAATGGTTAACTATTGTAAATCAAAACCAGCTTTATTCACTGCAGAATTATTTGCTAACTTTCAGGAAACCTAAGGGAGATGACCACCTTTCTCCATGGGCTGGAACAACACAGTTCTTCCTCCTAAGAGGATGGCAGAATGGGGCAGTGACCACCCACTCAGTACCTTTGTAGGAATTAGAAATGGGCTGGGTGTGGTGGCTCATGCTGTAATCCCAGCACTTTGGGAGGCTGAGGTGGGTGGATCACTTGAGGTTAGGAGTTTGAGACCAGCCTGGCCAACATGGTGAACCTCCATCTCTACTGAAAAAAATACAAAAATTAGCTGGGAGTGGTGGGACATGCCTGTAATCCCAGCTACTCGGGAGGCTAAGGCAGAAGAATCACTTGAACCTGGGAGGTGGAGGTTGCAGTGAGCTGAGATTGTGCCACTGCACTCCAGCTTGGGTGACACAGAGAGACTGTGTCTCAAAAAAAAAAAAAAAAAAAAGGAATTAGAAATGGATGCTCCATCCTTCATGAGGCTGCAGCCCAATGTGGCTGTACAGGGCTTCGTAAGCAGAACACAGGCTGGACTTAATGCTCCCCTCATTCGCTTTATACAAAAATGCCGCCCTCATAGTAAGCACTCTATACAACTGTACATGATATCCTTGATGAGATCCAGGTAGGGCTTTCAGACTGGGCTTTTAGGTGTTTACACTCACATGACCGATGCTGGCTGTCTCCTGGCTAAATAGTCTTGGTTCAGCCTTCCCTTCTCTTTCTCTTGGAAGAAGAGATGTATACACAGCACTCAACCTCTCTGGTGACTCAGGCCTGTGTCCCGGAAGTCCTCTGTGGAGGTGGTGTACATCATAATCTCTGCTCCTTTGAAAAGAGCACACCAACAGGACCAAACTAAAGAAAAAAACTCTGGTGGAAAGAAGGAGGGCAAGTGAACCAACATTGAGCACCTGTTCTCTGCAGGCCCTGTGCCTGACATTTGGCATACTCAGTCAACACTTTTTCTTCTGCATATCCCATGGTAAGGAAGATCAGAAAGATTGGTCTTCACTTTTGGGGTTTCCTCAGATAAATCCTAAAACTCAGAGAGTGGGAGAAGTCATTTGCTCTTTGGGGTTGCATATTTATGCTTTTAATTGAATGACAAAGAATTATTTAACTGAAATTTCTTCAATGGAAGGATTAGCTGGAAAAAGAAAGTGACCTTTAAGAAAGATTGTGTTAGGAACATGTAACTATCCATTCAGTCCTTTATGCCCTCTGACTTCTATCTTTATCAAATTCAGCCACTAAAAGGTTATGTGCTGTGGTGGTTTTATCCATTGTAGAATTGCTGTCACTCACTGAGTGCCCTGAGGATAACTGACTTATGCCCTCTGGGTAAAAAGGCCACTGAAAAACAGCCCCATGCATTGCAGTGACAGGAGCAATAGCAGCTACTGTGTGCCAGGCCTGGTTCTGGGCATTTTATTTTATTTTTTTTTAGCTAAATGAGTATTCTCTTTACTGTGCTCTACAGGGCCTTACTGTAGAAACTTGAGAAATATTTGTTCAATGAGGTGAATGGAATTTCCTGTAAATATATGAGTCTTTAAATCATTCAGTGTCACTCTATAAAAGCCCATAGGAGAAGTCTCCTTTAGAATTTAGTGCTTGGAAAACCTTTAATTTCCCTGAGGAATAGGTATGCTGCAAATAAGAACCACAAACCTGATTGTTTTACTTTTTTTTTTCAGAAATCTCTATGTCAGGAATCCCTCTGTCAAGCCTGAAATTAAGTCATGAAGACTGTAATGACTTTTGTGGAAGTTTGTGTTTTTTGCTCCTGATTTAAAAGATTTCTTTTAGATTATTTTGTGTTTTTTGGTGGAGGGAGGGTGGTTGTCATAAGCATTTAAAATACATTGTGAGCAAAGATCAGGTATAAAAATTTAAAAATGGAGTTCCTCTGGTGGCTGTCTCATTCATCGAAGTGCCTTTCCCCCTTTACTTCTGGGGAACGCAAAAGCTTTTTGACCCAGGAGGGAATCTTTACATCCCAGGGCAGGTGAGGGCAGGTTTTTGGGAGGTCACAATAGGCTGTAGTTCCAGATGGAGGCAGAGAGGCCACACCAGCTCCCACTGCCAAAGGGGGCTTAAATCAAAACACTATGCCTGACTGGCCGGGCTCACAGTAAGCACATTGGTACAGTACACAGGAAGCACTCAATACAGGCTAGCAATTATTATTAATATTGGTGTTAGGATTATTAGCATTATTTATTTTACTCAGGGCTGATTGAATGCTGAGGGGAGAAACCCAGGTTGAAGTGATAGATTTCAGCTTTCTAGGCATCTCTGTAGATTTCAGATTGGACAAATGGAAAGAGCTGTTTCCACATGGTTAGAGTTAACTTCACCCTTCACCCACCCATTCAAATAATATGGTTTTTAGGTAGGAAACACACCACTATATAGTCATCCGCAGAATCTTTGTTTCTTAGACAGCCATTTAATTTTGGCTGTCAGAGCACACTGTCAGCTGAGAATTCTCATGCCTGTCAGAAAATAACCAAACTAAATGAATTAAAAATACAAACAAAGTAAAAGCAGAGAAGCTCGTGTTATTACAACTTTGAACACTTACACCTTTTGCACAGTATCTGCGTCTGGGGTCTGGATGTGCTCAGTCTGGGAAGCACTGAGAGAGTCAAGGGTCATACTCCTTGGCTCTGGGTCTGTGAAAACAGAGTATCAATCAATAAAGGACAATAGGCAGTTATCCTAGGAGGTGATCAGACATGGAAAAATGTCTACCTGGTGAGAGTCAAAGGCATGCAAATTAGAACAATGACGTATGCTATACCTAGAAAATTAGCAAATGCTTCAGAAACCAGGGCTGGCACATGGCAAGTAACATTTAAATTAGTATTAAAATATCCTTTGGGAAAGTGATATGACAGTATGTATCAGCAATCAGAAAAATGTTTTAGCCTTTGATCAGGAATCTCACTCCTGGGTATTTATCATAAGGAAAGAATTCAAAAGAAGAAACAAGCTTTTTGTACCAACTTACTTATTATAGCATTACTATTAATAATGGAAAATTGGAAACAGCTCAACAAGGGAGATTGGGGAAGTAATTTATGATACATTAACTTGACATTTAAAATTATGGTTAAAAAGATAAACAATATGGAAAATATGATGTGACAAGTAAAAATATAAACTACAGAATAGTGTGTTAGAACGTTATAACATCTGGATGGATACAAACTGGAAGAGAAAACAGAAAAAGGAAATAATAGATAACATTGGGAGGTTAATATGTATTTATATTTCCCCAGTATGGGTATAACATTGAGAAACAAATTGATTTTTGCCGGGCGCAATGGCTCATGCCTATAATCCCAGCACTTTGGGAGGCCAAGGCAGGCAGATCACGAGGTCAGAAGTTCTAGACCAGCCTGGCCACCATAGTGAAATCCTATTTCTACTGAAAATACAAAAATTAGCCGGGCATGGTGGTGTGTGCCTATAATCCCAGCTACTCGGGAGGCTGAGGCAGGAGAATCGCTTCAACCCAGGAGGCAGAGGCAGAGCAGAACTCCATTTCAAAAAAAAAAAAGTACATATGGTCTGATTCCATTTATGTAAAATTCTAGAAAATGCAGACTAATCTGTAGTGACAGAAAGCACATCAGTGGTTGTCTAGGGATGAAGGAGGCTGGAATGGGGGAGGTATGAGGAAACTTTTAGCAGTGATGAATATTTTATTTTGATTGTGGTGATGGTTTCATGGGAATTATACAATTTCAAAAGGTCTAATTTATTGTATGTCAATTATCCCTTGATAAAGCTGCTTTAAAAAAGTAGGAAGAGATATGTTAATACAAGAAAAGTGCCTAAACTCGTGCCAGCACACGGTAAAAACAAACAAGAACCAAAAAAATCTCACCATGCCCACTCTCTTTACCCATATACAACTACTGCAAATATTTTGGTGTATTTACTTGTATATACTTTGTATATATATATATACATGTATATATAAAATGAATATATCATATCATATTTCCATAGAATTGATTAGTATATATTCAATTTTAATCTACTTTTATATTATAATTTTCCCATATAATATTCTTAAAAAAATTTTTTTTTAATTCTTAGAGACACAGCCTTGCTCTGTTGCTCAGGGTGGAGTGCGGTGGCATGATCACAGCTCACTGTAACTTTGAACTCCTGGGCTCAAGGGATCCTCCCACCTCAGCCTCCTGAGTAGCTGAGGCTACAGGCGTACACCACCACACCCAGCTAATGTTTGAAAATTTTAATTTTTGTAGAGACAAGGTCTCATCATATTGTACAGGCAGGTCTCAAACTCTTGGTCTCAAGTGATCCTCCTGCCTCAACTTCCCAAATTGTTGAAATGACAGGCATAAGCTGCCACACCTGGCCTAAATGTTCTTAAAAAATGATTTTAGACTGGATGTGGTGGCTTATGTCTGTAATCTCAGGACACTGGGAGGCTGAGGCAGGCAGATCACTTGGGCAAAGGAGTTTGAGACCAGTCTGGGAAACATGGCGAGACCCTGTCTCTACAAAAAAATAGAGAAATTAGCTGGGCATGGTGCCATGTGTCTGTCGTCCCAGCTACTCAGGTGGGTGAGGTGGGAGGATTGCTTGAGCTTGGGAGGTCGAAGCTGTAGTGAGCTGTGATGGTGCCACTGCACTCCAGCCTGAAAGACAGAGAGGGACCCTGTCTCAAAAAATTTTTTTTAATAGCACAGTATGTTATCATATGAATGTACCATGTGTGACTTAACCAAACATGTAATTAAAAAAATTCATATTGCTTCTATTTTGTATAACTATAAAAAGTGTTGCATATAATATTCTTTTTTTTTTTTTTTTTGAGACGGGGTTTCACTCTTTTTTCCTATGCTGGAGTGCAATGGCACGATCTCGGCTCACCGCAACCTCCGCCTCCTGGGTTCAGGCAATTCTCCTGCCTCAACCTCCTGAGTAGCTGGGATTACAGGCACGCACCACCATGCCCAGCTAATGTTTTGTATTTTTAGTAGAGACGGGGTTTCACCATGTTGACCAGGATGGTCTTGATCTCTTGACCTCGTGATCCACCCGCCTTGGCCTCCCAAAATGCTGGGATTACAGGCTTGAGCCACCGCGCCCGGCTGCATAGAATATTCTTGAAAGGAATTTTTGTTTTGTTTGTGAGACAGTCTCGCTCTGTCGCCCAGGCCGGAGTGCAGTGGTGCAATCTTGGCTCACTACAACCTCCACCTCCTGGGTTCAAGTGATTCTCATGCCTCAGCCTCCTGAGTAGCTGGGATTACAGGCATGCACCACCATGCCTGGCTAATTTTTGTATTTGTAGTAGAGATGGGGTTTTGCTATGTTGGGCAGGCTGGTCTTAAATCCTGGCCTCAAGTGATCCACCTGCCTCGGCGTTCCAAACTACAGGTGTGAGCCACGGCATCCGGCTAGGAATGTTTTGATTATTAAAAAATGCACTCTTTGTCCACATTTCTGATTATTAACAGATGTACAGTCCTCAAATCACAATGCCTACTGCCAAATTTTTCCCCAGAAAATTTGTACCAATTTGTACTCCAAAAGGTTATTCCTTCCGTCATTTATCAGATTTACTGAATATTTACTAAATGCCAGGCATTGTGCAAGGTGCTGGGAATATGGTGGTGAATCAGTTAGACACAGATGCTGGTCTAAGGGAGCTTACATTCCAGTGGGGAAGATGAATATTAAAACAAAACAAAACCTCAAAACACAAAACTGTTTTTGAAAGGAAGACTCTAATATTCAATTTGTGCCTTTCTGAGAAGTAGATTCTTGCATGAATTAATTAATTTAGACTCAGTTTTATTTATTTGAAGATACTATACTTTTAAAGAAAGATTTGAAAAGAAAAAATTCACCCATTATCGGCATCATTCCCTTAATACTGTGGTTAATCCATTTTTCTTTTTTCTTTCTTTGAGACGTAGTCTCACTCTGTCCACCAGGCTGGACTGTAGTGGCTCGATTTTGGCTCACTGCAACCTCTGCTTCCTGGGTTCAAGCAATTCTCTGCCTCAGCCTCCCGAGTAGCTGGGATTACAGGCGCCTGCCACCACGCCCAGCTAATTTTTTTATTGTTAGTAGAGGTGAGGTTTCACCATTTTGGCCAGGCTAGTCTTGAACTCCTGACCTCATGTTCCATCAGCCTTGGCCTCCCAATGCTGGGATTGCAGGTGTGAACCACTGCACCTGGACTGTTAATCCATTTTTCAATGTTTGGTTGTGGTTTCCCCACCCAAGAGCTTCTTTACAACCTGGGTTTCCTTCTACCTCTACTCAGGTTCAGGGAGGTAGATGTCCGCTGTATCACACATCTTTAGAGGAGGCACAAGACTATTAACGCACAAAGGTGGTTAAGGAAACTGGAAACGTTGACCAGGCTGTACCTTGGAATTTATTTTGTCTTGGATAATATGTAACATTAACAGAGAGCAGAAGCTGGTCGAGTATCTTTGTGTCAAAGGGTAGTAGTTCTGTGAGGGTTTCTTTCCTTAACATCGCTGGCTGGGAAAAAACTCATTGAAGACCCTCACTGCTCTTCACTTTTGAACTCTGGGACAGGGCATGAAAGGACCAGCAGAGGGCGCATTTGTATTGACCAAAAGCTGTTCTACATTGAAACTTCCATTGTCATTAGAATTGAAACCCTGTCGGTTTGGGGATGTGGACCATAGAAGGGTGTTTTTTTTTTTTTTTTTTTTTTCCCTCTCTCTTAGTAAAATAACCTGCTATTTAGGAAGTATTGAAACAAACGAAGTCAGTGCTTTGAATAATAACGTACAACTTTTAACTACCTTAAAAAAGTGTATACAGGCCAGGTGTGGTGGCTCACGCCTGTAATCCAAGCACTTTGGAGGCCAAGGCAGGCGGATCACCTGAGGTCGGGAGTTCAAGACCAGCCTGACCAACATGGTGAAACCCCGTC